CCCCAGTCTAAATGACGAAAATCTGGACTATGTCGAAATTAGAAACAGAAATATCTTCGATACCCAAAACACCCTCCTCTATTGCTTTTAAAACAGAAACCGCGGCTATTTCATTCGCAAGCATTTAACGATTTGCAACACAGCAATGTACGTGACTTCAAGTTTTTTTACAAGATAATCAGGGTGCTCTTTTTAGTAACAGAATACCCAGCATTACTAATAAGCAAAAGGAAGATCGTCAATAGGACGGAAAGGATCCGTTTGGAATTATGTGGATAATCTTGAAACAGGAAAAAATGAGGAATTTGCCGCCTGTACAAGATGGTGAGGAGCACGACGATGTGAAAATTATATGATTAAAAGTATTAAAACAAGCAGGATCGGATAGCTCACCAGACTAAATTTTTTCTCGGCTCTTCGCTTCTCCTTTTCACTGACACCTGGTTCATTCTGCACCTTCTTCAAATCCAATTTCTTTTGTTTCAGTTCATCACACAAACTCTTGTACCATACAGCAGCGTAGAACATTACTGCATACTGAAAACAAAGCACACTTTGCGAGTTACTAAAAATAAAGAAAATTTCGGCCAATTTATGAAACGGTTTGCATAAAGGTTGAACAAATTTCGTCAAAAGACTACTAACATTCATGGCAGCGGCTTAAGGTTCCAACATCAGTTAATTAAAGAAAAAGAAGATACAGAAGTTTTTTTGGTTCTCAGTTAATAAGGACTCTAAATGATGTCATGAGTAATGAATACGGGGCAAAAATTTTGCATATTGCACTCTCTACCCTAAAAAGAGCGTTCCAGATCTGATAAGGTTTCTGGTAAATTGTCTAGTACCGTGTATGTTAAAACTGTTAATAATAAACGTAAGGATAATTCGATAAAACTATGCGTATTCAAAAATAATCGATCGAGCAGTGTTATCTTTATTCTCATAATATCTTATACAAGGAGTTAATAAACTTATAGATCACACTAAAACAGCCTATTGAGCAGATCCTTAGGAATGAAACAGTGTAGGGAATATTTTGTGCTGGCGAGTGTCTGGCACGCCGGATGTGTATGCCGGTGTTTGCCTAGCATCTAATTAACGATGTAACGCCTATAATTCCTTACGAACGAGCGCTATGCGCTTGAAATTGTTCGTAATTTGTGTGATTCAATGTAAGAATCAACTGGTCCCGTAAAATCAGAGTCAATCCCCATCAGACTGATAATCCGATCAGTCGCGTACAATCTCAAATGAATCATAACCGGCAGAAACCAGCATCAAATTATAGCCTTCCTAAAGCAACACCAGAAACAGCTGAAGTCGAGAGATTTGCCTGCTTAAAAATCGCATTAATGCTGCGCGATGGAGTTATAACTTATATCCAGTCAAATCAGTCACGGCGTGGGCATCATATACGATTGATAAAATATGAAGTCGAAAGTTACCTATTTTGATACATACCTCAATGGAAACGTTGACGTCACCTTTCTTCTCAACAATATAATCAATA